CTTCAGTTTAAATCTCTTCAGAAGTTCTAATTCATACTTGAGCTGATGCAAAATGATACCTTTCTCAGAATATCTGAACTCCATCCCTAGAAAGTATGTCATTTTGCCTAGATCAATCATTTCGAATTCATTCATCAGAACTTTCTTGAACTTGGATATCTCCTGTTCAGAACTTCCAGTCAGTAGTATGTCATCAACATATAAACAAACCAGAGTCATATTGTCTTCGGAAGTATGCTGAACATAAACACCGTACTCCATCTCACATTTCTGAAAGCCTTGCTTCTTGAAAAATGAATCAATCTTCTGATTCCAAGCTCTGGGCACTTGTTTCAATCCATATAGAGTTTTGTATAATTTGTACACCATCCCTTCCTGATTCTTTTTCATAAATCCAGGAGGTTGTGACACATAAACTTCTTCTTCTAATAGACCGTTCAGAAATGCAGATTTTACATCTAAATGCATCAGAGGCCAATTCTTGTTAGCAGCTATTGCAATCACCATTCTGATTATTTCATGTCTTACTACAGGTGCAAACACTTCAGAATAATCCAGCTCAGGTTTCTGTAGAAATCCTCTAGCTACCAACCTTGCTTTATGTTTGCCAATTGAACCATCTGGCTTTAACTTCTGCTTGAAAACCCATCTGACGCTGATGGCTTTCTTATTTTTTGGAAGTTATGTCAGCTTACAAGTCTTGTTTCTCTCTATAGCATCAAGTTCTTCTTTCATGGCCTTCAGCCAGAGCTTCTGCTTAAGAGCCTCTTCTGTACTTATGGGTTCAGAGTCTACTATCATGCCACACTGAATAACTTCTCCTTCAGAGTCTACTTCAGTGTCTTGCAGCATGTCAAATTCTGCATATCTTCTGGGGACGTTTCTTATTCTTTGTGGTCTCTGAACTTGTTTAGAGTCTTGAGCTTCAGAGTTTCTAGCTTCAGATGATTGACTTCCTCCAGAGCTTTGACCATCTTCAGAGTCTGGCATATTTCCAGAGTCTGAATTGCCATCAGAGTCTGGATCATCAGAGTCACCTTCATCTTCTGAGTCTTCTCCAGAGTCTGAATCACTATCAGAGTCAGAGTCAACGTCAGAGTTTACTCCAACTTCAGAAATTCTTAACTCTGACCTTTCTTCAGAAGTTCTAACATCAGAATCAGATTGAGACTTATCCCAATTCCAAACTTCTGATTCCTTCACAATCACATCTCTGCTGAATTCAATTTTATTGGTTTCTGGATAATAGAGCTTGTATGCACCTGTACTGTGGTACCCTATCAGAATCATCACTTTGCTTCTATCATCCAGCTTCTGTCTTCTGGCTTCTGGAACATTTTTATAGCAAACAGAACCAAACACCTTCAGATGACTAACACTTTGCTTATCTCCAGTCCACTTTTGTATTGGAACAATTTCCTTCAACTTCTTCGTAGGACATCGGTTGAGTACATATGTTGCAGTGGCAACAGCTTCTCCCTAGAGCTTTTGAGGAAGCTTCTTCTCCTTTAGCATGCTTCTCACCATATCAAGCAAAGTGTGGTTTCTTCTTTCAGCAAGACCATTGTGTTGAGGGGTATAAGGAGCAGTAACCTCATGTTCAATTCCATTCTCCTCACAGAACTTCTGGAACTCTTTGGAGTTATACTCACCTCCACCGTCAGTTCTAAGAATCTTTAACTTCTGACCACTCTGATTCTCAGCCTTCATTCTGAACTTCTTGAATTCATCAAACACCTCGTGTTTAAACTTAATAAGGGATACCCATGTCATTCTTGCGAATTCATCAACAAACAACACAAAGTATTTATTCCCTCCAATCGATGCTACTGGAAATGGACCACACACATCAGAATGTACAACTCCCAAGGCATGTTTTGCTCTTGGAGCAGCTTCTGACGCAAATGGCAATTGTGGTTGTTTTCCTTCCATGCAAACTTTGCATGACTTTTCAGGCTTCTTAATTGCAGGAATTCCAAGTACCAACTTCTTTGAGTTCATATGTTTTAAGCTTCTGAAATTCAAATGACCGAATCTTCTGTGCCACAGCTCACTCTCCTTCTCAGCACTTGTTGCACTAAGACATTCTGAGTCTGCAGTTCTGACATTCACCTTGAATGTTCTATTCCTTCCCTGTTCTGACTCCATAATCAACTTCTGATTGTAGTCATACAGCTTCAGAAGATTGTCCTTTATGGTAACTGAAAAACCTTTCTCAATTAATTGTCCCACACTCATCAGATTGCTTCTGATGCCAGGTACATACCACACGTTCTGAATCAATGTTGTTTTCCCATTGTTCAAAATCACTCTGACATTTCCCATACCTTCTGCGTTAAGATATTTGTCATCAGCACATCTGATCTTTGTTCTCTTTTCAGAGTCAAAGTCAACCAGCCATTTCTTGTTTCCAGTAAGATGATTTGAACAGCCAATGTCCATATACCACCAGTCTATCAGATCCATATCATCAGATTCAGAGGTCATCAATAGCACAGATTCGTCATCAGAACTTCTGGTTATATTTGCTTCTTCTGATTTTCTCTCCTTGTTTGACCAACAATCTCTAGCAAAGTGACCAAACTTCTTACAAGAGTAACATTGGATTTTCTTCTTGTCATACTTCTCTTTTCCCTTCTGAGCATTCTTTTGTCTATCAGAGGTTGAGCTTTCTGACTTCTGACCACCATCAGATCTTCTCCTGGCTTCTAACTGCTTCTGATACCTCCTATCAGAAGTTACTTTCAGAGCCTGCTGCTCTACTTCCTTTTCAGAAGTTCTCTCAGTCAAACGCAACTCTTGCGCTTCTAGACTGCTCTGCAGCTCTTCAATTCTCATGGTGCTCAGATCTTTGGAATGTTTTATTGCTACCACAATGTAATCAAATTGAGAGGTAAGGGATCTCAATACTTTCTCCATGATTGCTTCTTCAGAAAGAGTTTTTCCACACGCCTTCATCTCATTAGTGATCATAATCATTTTGAAGATGTATTCAGAGACTTTCTCATTATTCTTCATGTTGAGATTCTCATATTGCTTTCTCAAGGACTGAAGCTTCACCTTCTTCACTGATGCGTCACCACCATAACATCTCACCAGTCTATCCCACGTAGCCTTTGCTGTCGTTGAATCTGCAATCTTCTCAAACACATTTACATCCACACATTGATGAATGAAGAACAATGCTTTCTGATCCTTCTTCCTTACTTCCTTCTGCGCGTTTTTCTGTTCATCTGTTGCATCTGCTGCTACCGGAACATAACCATCAGTGACAAGATCTATAACATCTTGAGCACCGAACAGTACACGCATTTGGATCATCCAACGATTCCAGTTTTTACCGTCAAATATTGGAAGTTTGGTGTTCATGTTGCCGTTTTCGTTCATCTTCTACCTTGCACAGTACACTCAGATTTCTCACAGTGTTTCCCAACCCACAGAATTAAAATTCTGATCAGATTTGTTCAAGATTCAACACAAATCTAAGAAACAAAATCAAACACACAAGACCTCACGTTCACTCGTGTTTCCCAATGAATCCGAACCGGAGCTCTAGATACCAATTGTTGGTGCAAAGGTGAATAAATGATGAACAGAGGAAATATTCTATTAAAGAGAATGACGGCTACACAACTCACTTTTCATTACAATGATTGTAACCCTATTTATAAGCTAAAACTATGGTTACTAGAATAAGATAAAATACTAAAATACCCTCTAACAAACTTAGGGGCTAAGTAATAGTACAACTAAATATGAATTACTTCTAATATCAACAACCTCACCCACCAGAGGTGGCACCGGTGCATCAGGATCATCGGCAACCTCACCCTCTGAAGGTGGAACCAAATCAACAGGAGGTGGCACAGGTGCATCCCGACGCCTATGAGAGGATGGGGGAAGTGACGCGTCATCTGGTGTATCATGTCTCCCGCGGGAAGAAGAAGAAGAAGGTGGAGAGGCCTGAGATGTAGATGGAGTATCCTGAGGTGAAGGTCGAGCCCTAGGAATGGACTACGCCACAGGAGTGAATTGAGCCTCAGGAGTAGAATGCACCCCAACAGTGGATGCCTCTCCTTGACCAGAGGTACCTACTGCCTCTGGAACATGCAGGCTCCGCTCCCGCCAAACGCATGCGTGATGGGAAACCCGTCCAATTGGGGTGGCAAAACAGGTCCGGTCCGTTGGGTATGTCTGCACTTTAGTTTGGGGCAAGCCAAGAACTTAGGCCCTCACCCTCTAATGTGTCCACCCCACCCCTCCCCATTTTCTTCGCGGGCATGAGGATTAATATAAAATTTTGTATTTTTAGGATTAAAAGGTGTAATGACCGCGAACTTTCCCGCCCTGCACTCATTTTTTACGGAGCGGACCTAAATTTTATACCCTCATCCTCAACTATGTTCATCCCGCCCCGTTTTTTTCAAGACTTTTGCGGACTGCACCTAAATGAGGCAGCTATGCTTGTTTGCCACCCTTAATTAGGGCTGTAAAAAAAATTATTCTCCAAGTACATCATGTTTAATATACTAAAATGTAATCAAATATCAATTAATGTAATCATTGTGGAGATGTCTCTTATTGATTTTTCATATGAACTCAAGAAAATTGAATTCAATTAATTACTAATTAATATGAGCAGATATATTTTTAATTGAAAAATGTTATTAATTACCAAAAAAGTTTGTCAAACTTAATTTCCTAAATTGAAAGGTTTAATGACAAATAAATATTAAAATAAAATTATATAATTTCAAATATACCATCTTTCACTCTTGCACAAGTCCATAAATTTATTTATTTATTTATTTATTTATTTATTGGATTACAATTATTCAAGCTCCATAATTTAAATTGTAATAATACATTACAGAGGCATACATATTAAATTTCTATGGCAATCAATACATCAAACTTCACCTTAATTCTATCAATGGTTTACCAAAAAAATTGCCTCCATTCTATGAAATCAAACCATACCTTCTTCCTCTTTGCTCCAATTATATGCCCTTATATCTTTTGGCACATATAGTATATAATATCAAGTCAATGAAAATAAGAAATGATGACAAGAAGAAATACATATCTAAATGACCATCATTTAGATTAGGTGAAACCCAACCATGTTGTCCTTGACCACTTGATGTTATTTTATTTACCACTGTCAAAATAATGTTACCAACATAGCAACCAAGTGCAGATGAAAACATATACAACCCCATTCCCAAGCTTTCCAATCCATCAGGTGATTGCGATGTAAAGAAGTTCATTTGTGCTACATACACAAAAGCTTCTGCTACTCCTAGAAGCATATATTGTGGTACCAACCAAAAAATACTCAAGGAACTTGTCTCTTCACCGCTTTCGCTAGCACAATTTAGTCTTTCCTTCTCTACAAAACCAGCAACAATCAATGTTATTGTTGCTATGGCGAATCCAATACCGATATTTTGTAGCTCAGTAGGAAGTTTTGGAGGTTTTTTCATCACTTTCTTGTATAACGGAATTATGAGAACGTCGAATAGTATGATAAATGTTGACGTGTTAATAATATCAAATGTTGTCATGCTTGCAGGAGGGATTTGAAACTTGAAAAAAGTTCTGTCCATTGTTGAACCTTGTTCAACAAATAGTGATTGCATTTGTATGAAGACGCTAGAGGAGAATATTGTGCAGAACCATATTGGTAACACTCTTAAAATATATTTCACCCCTTCGTTTTGTGTTACACTGGAAAAATTCCATTTGTATGACTTTTGGCCTTTACCTAGCAACCTCTCAGTCGTGTCATCAGAAACCATAGAAGCTTTATCAAAAAACCTGTTATCGAAAACAAAATGAAAAAAAATAAAAAAAACTTGCATCACAATGTAGTTCATTTTATACGTTTTCAACTTTCAGATGCGCGATGATAATAAAAAGTTACCTGAGGCCATTCGTGTGGTGTATTCTTCTAACACGAGTACCATCCCTTTGAATACCATAGAAGCCTTCTCCAATTGAGATTATTTGAGATTTCACTTTCCTCAAAAAGGACACAATTACTTGTGTTAGCTTAGAGAAAGGGTTTCCAAAACTCTTATAGTGTCTATATCTAAGAGTTCCACTCAGCAAAACAACAAAGGAAACACATGCACAACCAGTACATATCCAAAATCCCATCACCCAATGTCCTGTAGTCGCTATGTAGGCCAACACAGTCTCGGCAATCAATGATCCCAAATTCAATGCCACGTAAAAGTAGCCATAAATCAAGGTCTTTGATCTTTGTTCATCAGGTTCTTCTTCATCAAATTGATCAGCACCGAGTGTTGGTAATGCAGGGTCAGAAACTCCACTTCCTAGAGCTATTAGGTATATTGATACGTAAAATAATGGAAACTGATTTTGAATATCTGATTCACATGGCACTCCGTTTTGCTCACAACCATGAGGTTTCAGGAAAAAGAAGTGAGTTGACAGAGATAATATCACCAAGCCCTGCATAAAAGTAAAGGAAAATAGAACTTCAGGATTACTGTTTTACATCAAGCTTACAACAACAACAAAACCAAAACACTACACAAAACTGCCTTGTAGGGTGAGGATTGCTCCCATTTATGAACACATGTTGAAACTATATCCTTTTCAATGTAAGACTCTTCAACACACCTCCTCATACCTAGGACTGAACATCTGAAGCGTGAATATAAATGATAGGTTGCTTTATAGCAGAAACCTAATAACAGGTGGTTCAACGGATCTTAGATAGGCTGTGATACCATGCAGAATTTCGTGGTATATATTTTTATATTAGAAGTGGTACAAATGAGGTATGTATAGAATACAAGGAACTGAACCTATACATTAATCAGGCCTAAATATAAGAAAAGTAATTTTCAACTGGTGTTGCCACCTAAATGACATTAATTGAGAGTAATTCTATCTACACTACTATTTCTAACTAATGCACAATTAGAATTCCGTAATGGTTGAGTAATAATCATCATAAGATTCAGATACTCTCCAACAAGAAGAGTTGTAACAAAGAATAGTGTTAATTTAGAGCCTATGATGAGATATGACTTGAAAATGTGTTTATAAGTGGTAGACATTTTTAGTAATTTAGGCTTGAATATCTCAAGTACTCCCTCGTCTCTCGTTTAGAATATATTCAACTTCTTTTGCTGATAAAAAAACTCTTAATGTTGATTACTTACTATGATGAAAACAAGCTGGAATATTATGCAAGTGAGGTATCTTCCCAAATATGAATCACTAAGAAAAGCTCCAATTAAAGAGAAGAAATAAGTAGTTCCCATCCATATGCTAAAAGTGCTTGCTGCCTCAACATTAGTTTGTTTCAATACTAATTTTGAGAAGAGAACCAAATTTGCTTCAACTCCAGAGAAAGCCAATGCAATCAGCCCTTGATTCACTGTCACAATTTCACAATTCTATATATAATTAGTAAAAATAAATGAAATAGATTAAGTGCTGAACAATTTAAATTCACTTATATAACATAAGCACTTATGTGCTTATAATATAAGTGCTTATGTATATAATTTATTTCTATAACAAAAGATAAAAGAAAAGTCAATTTGTTTCCATATAAGTTGTTTTCCTAAGCTTTTTCATCATATAATTAAGCCAAAAAAATGATATGGCATAGGTTATTTGTTATTTTCATAAACTCACTCAAATTGTGTGGACCTATAGCACCAACCCCTCTGAAAAATTGTGTCTATGTTTGTGTCAATGCCAGACACCACAACACCACACTTGTGATTATTACCTGGGTCGCTCGCTGTGTCTGTGTCAATGTCAGACACCACGACACCACAGTTGTGATTATTACGTGTGTCATTGTGTCAGTGTCATTGTCGTGTCCGGGGTGTCTGTGCTTGTATGGATACCTACCTAACAACAATGATGCACTCCTCCATCCACCAGTCCTAGCTTTCAAAGCAGGTTTTCCATAAAAATCAACCGATCCATCTCTTGTGCAAGAATTAACACACTCCTTCTCATGCTCGTAAACTTCAACAACCTATTCAAATTACAAACCAATTTTAAAAAATTGAATTAAACAAAAACAAATGTAAATTTTGCAATCGAAATATGATAAATAATAAGATTACGGAGAAGCGAAACCTGAGAGCTAGAATCTTCTTCATTTCCGTCCATTGTTCGTCACAGAATGCACTAGATAAGGTGAGGACCATTACAGTGTTGTTCGGCTTTCTTATAAGCGAAATGCGAAAATTTTACGTGATAATTGCTTTGAAAATTTTGATTTATACTCGGGGATTAGACCTAAAACCTTGAAATCACTTCAATTTACGAAACTACCCTTTGATGGTTATCAAATTTTTAAAGTTTTAGAAGAAAAAAAGAATTTTTATTAGTAATTCTCTCCGTGCACGAATCTTATGCTGCCTTGTTGTCGTTATTTTTGGAACACGGACTTACATAGATGTTTTAGGAAAAAGTATTTTAAATTTAATACAAAATATTTTAAAAACTTTTAATTATCTTGCATTGAATCATATAAATATATTTTTCATTAGTTTTGATTTAAATTTTTTTTTAAAAAAAACAAAGGACATAAGTCTAAAAGCACAGGACAACTAACAACGATGTTTTAAAAAAAAAATAGAAAGATCAGAAGTTATCTCGAACTAATGTTATATATCATATAGCAACTTTGACGTTCTTGTTTAGACAACAAATCCGCACTGCGATTAGTTTCGCAAAAGATACGTTTAAGAATGACCTCTTCAAAGTTGTTACCAAGTTGCTGGATGTGGATGTGAAGTAACAAGTCAAAACCAATATGAGGCACTTTATCCACTTCTTACAACATAGATATCACCCTTCTATTCTCAATTTGAATCTGCAACCTCTTGATACAACTACTCAAAGCAACCTGAAGGCTATCCAAAACACCCCACAACTCAACATAAATACTATTATTATAACTAATATACTTGCTGTGTCGCTACTGCGAAAATCGGCGCCGGCTGAACAGAAGAGTCGCCACCGCGCGTTATTTATCCCAACGGAGGGAAAGGAAACGCTCGAAGTAAACCTACCGCAAAGACGGGAAAGGAGTGGTCATCGCAACCAAATCCTGGATTCGGGAGTCGGTTACGCAAGGGGAAGGTATTAGCACCCCTCACGTCCGTCGTACTCGACGAGATCCACGCTTGTTTTCGGGTATGGATTGTTATTCTATCTACTCTACAGGTTAAGGGTTAAAAAGAAAAGAAAATGACTCGGCAAAGTATCGCACTTTATGCCTACGTATTCCCGTCTGGAACGAGAAATCAGAGTCAACGTAGTTCGCCTACCTACGGGAAATGAGGGGAAGGTTGCTCGCTAGGATATCGCATCCTATGCCTACGTACTTTCATACAGCATGAAAGATCAGAGCAAACGTAGTTCGGGCCACGTACGACACAAGTCTGTCTTGGTTGTTTTTATTCCTTCTGAAAAAGGGTTTTCTGATTAACAGTCCAAGCGGACAAAAATGACGTCTTGGTGAGTTCACGTTCTTTTACGGAAGAAGTGTCTTTTATTGTGTTTGAAATTTTATTGTGTTTTTCTGTTAGTTTTGAGAAAGAAGAGACAGAACTCTAACCTACGGTTGAAAAGGGAATCAAACTAACCTAGTGTTATCATGCATGGGTTAATACCTAATGTCTATCATGTTCCTCTCTTGCGCAGAGAGAAACAGAGATCCTAAGGGAATAGACGGAAACAGAAACAATAGCATATATATACAAAAGCAGTAAAATGCATGGATGCAGCAATACAAGCGAGGCAAGGAAGTCCCACTCAACCTCGAACCTAGAAAACAATAGGCCAAAAGTGAACAGAATTCACTTTCAACCCAACAGGTTAAACAGCAAACAATACAGTCCGGGAAAACCAATCAATACATCAAATATGAAAACAGCAAAAATAAACAGCCACAGCAGCTCTGCATCAACATCTGTCTTCAAGTCATCACCAATCAGCTACAAGCTTCAGCAAGCATCAATCTCCATCTCCACAGCCTTCAAGCAAGGTCCTGGTTATCAGTCTTCCATCTGCAATGGCTTTTCTTCAAGTCTCAAACTCCAAGAGAAATATCAGTCAACAAGATAAAAGTGAATGTTAAACAGTAGACTGCCTACCAAGGGTGGCTCATCAACTGTTAACATTATACAGACAGTTTTCTCTCAAAAGTTCTATCTTTCAAATACATTCACTGATCCTTCCTGGAAGGAGGTGGATATTTGAAAGAGACTTTGAATCATAGAGAAAGGATGGATGCAGACAAGGCATTCCATGTTTGGGAAACAAGCTTTCTAATCTAGAGCTCTGCCTAGCTCCTAAACCCTAGACTCCTCAACAGCTGCTAGCAAGAATCTCCTCATCAACTCTGGAAGTTGGACTTCAATCTCTGGATCTCCAATGGCTTCATCCTCACAAGTCTTCAGCTCTCCCAATCCCCAAGCAATCCCAATACCCACACAGACAAATCATAATCCCCAGAGAGGGCACACCACACCAGTCAAGCAAATATAGACAGTATTAATAGCAGTAGGGGAATCCTAATATTTTCTAAGGGATCTAATAACTACCCCTAATCCCTATAGTCTCATACCCCAAAGATTCAATTTCTAACTCCTAAGGGAAATGAACTTATTCACCTATGTTGTCACCTAAACCCTAGTTTTGTTCATGTTATCCACACCTAAACTAATCACCTAAAATTAAGTCCTAAAAATATGAACTAAATTTTATATACAAGCTAACATTATCTACTAATCAACCTAAAAAGAATGGATTGAAAATATTAAAGCATCTATTCAAACTAAAATCACCAAATTCATGTATCAAACTAAACATTATTTACACCTATTTAAAAGAAAAATATGCCAAAAATATTAGAATAAAATGAAATGCCAAATTTTTTATGTGATATTTTTCTTGACAAAATTATGAAAAGAATGAAAAAACAACCAATGAAAAATAAGCATTTTCCAATTTGTTATGATTTTTTAAAGATTTAAAAAAATATATGAATGAAATAATATGAATTAAATTGAGCTGGGGTGCAATGAGCAAGAAAAACCAATTAAAAAGAGAAACGGGCCCAGACTGGGGGTGCGCCTAGCAAGGCGCGTCTGGGCCCAATGTACTCAGAAAATAACCAAAAAATAAAAAAGGAAGAAACGGTGTGAATAGCGAATATTTCAGTTCATTAGGAAGTGGGCCTGATTTGGGGGTATGAATAGCAACAAGTTCAAAGCCCAGTCTGAAGATAATAAGTGGAACGGTGCGTTTTGATGTTTGAATCTCCCTCCGTTTTTCTTTTGAATCATGGCCGTAGGATTGAGAACCAAGTCAAATGTCAAAGCCAGATCGTGTGGCTCTCATGTTATCTTCAACCTCCAGCAAACCCTAGCTCTGAAACTCTTCTCCCATGCACGATTTCCACTCCACTGTTCTCCCTCATCTCTCCACGAAATCAAACCATTCCAAAAGCAAACTTGCTCTAGAACAATCCCTCTACACAGCCATACCAACCATTCCCTCTAAAACTCAAACAATAAGCAAACCCGATAGGAATACCAGTCTGAATCCACCATTAACACCTGTCATCAACCTCTCCAATTCTCCCTAATTCTTGCCCTAACATGCTCTACACCTTGTGCTGATCACATCAAGCTAATAACCTAAGGTTTTCTTGCAATATCCTATGAGATACAAACCCTAACAGTTCTTGCACACCAATGGCAACCTTCATGGAATCTCTTCAAACTCACCAAAACCAGTCATCTAACCTATCTTAACATTTCTATGCTAACAAAACCTAGTAATTCTAACTTAAACATGCAATTCGAAGGAGAAACATACCTGGTGTAATTGATGAAAACAGGTGCTAAAACCTCTTGATCCAATGCTTGCAATGAGTGGAAATGGATCAATGACTTTGCTCTTGAGTTCTGTATGCAATGAATCTGACTCAAACCTCTTAGATCTTGTGATTTCAACTTCTTGTACCTTGGATGATGGAACTTGTATGGCACGATCCTTGCTCAATTCTAACCAATCTTGAGGTGAATTGTAATCTATGGATGATGATGATGAAGACCAGATCAAGAAATATGAAAATTGAAGGAGATTTGATGAAGTTTAGAAAGCTTTTGCAAAATGGAGAAAGTGTGTGAAACTTGGTATTATGAGCACAATGAATCACCAACCCATGCATGAATCTCTTCAATACAATATATAGATGACATTAGAACCTCCTAGAACTTTGGAGAAACTTCCCATGCACTCTTTCCTTACATTTTGGATCATGTAACTTCATGTGTAAGTAACCATGTATAACTTTCAAAACTTGAACCAAGCTCAAAATTCTACTTTAGCCAATGTTCTCAAAATGACTTTTCCCATCAAAATGACCTATAATTTCACCTCATTTGGCCAAAGTATGAAAAATCTCATTTTTTAGGTCATTTTTATTCATTAAATCCACCAAATTTGAAACCTTGTACTATGAATCTTTCCAATCTTTCATGGCCACTTTTATAGACTCAAAATGTCATTTGGAGCAAGTTTGATGTTGTGAAGTTTTCCATTTGAAGCTTCCTTGTATGAGTTTTGGGCATAGGCTTGAAATGACCTGTAATTCTCAGTTGACCAAAATACCCTTTGCTTGCCAAGACCATAAGTAGAGTTCCACAAATAATATGAAGGCATATTATACCATTCTAGAAAGCTAAGACAATGAGTAACAATTCTTATGTTGGCTAGAAATCCATTTGAAATCTCCTTGAGGGGTAAAAATTGCTTGGAAGTCAAGTCACTTTCACAGACAAAATTTCAGATACCTCAGATGACCTGTAACTTGCAAGGACCATAACTTGAGTTCTATAAATCTCCTTGATGTCTTCCACCACTCAAATTAAAGGTCTTGAGATCCTCTACAAGTTTCATGTTGGCCAAGGATCCATTTGAAGCTTGAATTTTGACTTATCTTGCTTGGAAATTTGACCTAAACTAGGGGATTTTACATAGAAACCCTAATTTAGAAACTCCTCTTCTCCTTGATTCCTCTTGATTTCTTCTTAGCATAACAACATATCCTTCTTTAAATGTTAAATTATGAACCCCACATCTCTCCAATA